TTTTATTTTATTACTGTTCTGGGATTAATAATGTTTAATAATTTTAATAATGTGCTTTAAGTCAAGTCAAATTCAGTTTATGCATGATTACATGATATAGGCTAGCTTTTTTAATACTGTATCCTAAATTGTGGATAATTAAGCTATATATCATATGCTGAAGTACATTTCTGGAGTGTTAAAGATTAAAAGAAAAAATAACAAGAACCGTACAGAACCGAAAACCGTGACCCTAAAACCGTGATACAAACCGAACCATGGGTTTTGTGAACCGTGCCACCCCTAATTCATCATGTACAGTTTGGTATATTATTTTTGGTTTGGTTCAATGAAATGATTGAATACATTTACCAAGAGACAATATAGCAATGGAAAAAATATGTATCGAGATGAAAATCATGCTTTCTATACCCTTCAAAGGACGAAAGAACATGAAGATACATAGGCTACTTTTACACAGAATTTGTTTAAAATGAAAAATATTATATCAAATTCCTGCAATGAGAAAATATTAATTGTTAAATATCTTAGCCTATTTTGGGTACTCACCACCATACATCCTGTACTTGCTTGGTTCACTGTTTGAAACTTATGAACCATTTCTGGCATTTTTAAACCTTTTTTTTCCTGACCATGGCAAACCAGGGATATGGGGTTCCCACTGTAGTTGAATGGACCAAGACAGTCTGTTGGCTCTGGTATACTGAACTTGGATGTGCTGCTGGGAACACATCTAACATACTAACTAATTTGAGACAAAATCATCTGAATGTGTGTAGGAACAAAATGCCCTTTGCAAGCTAGTCTCTCCATGACATTTTGCCAGAAAATTCATCCATCCTTTTTCTATACCCGCTTGTCCTATGCAGGGTCACAGGGGTCTGGAGCCTACGGGCACAAGGCCAGGAAAAACCCAGGATGGGGTGCCTATTGCCAGGGAATTCAGGCCAGGCTAAAAAATAATTATGGCTAAAAAGGTGTTTATTGCTACAGATACAGGACCCATACTCGGAACATGGGATTTTAATGGGATTTAGTTCATCATGATTGTTATAATGTTGTATTGTTGAATTGTATGATTTTTAAATTACAGTGGTACCTCAGTTCTCGAACTCATGAGAACTCAAATTTCTTAAAAGTCAAAAGTTCGAAAAAAAAAATTACCTAGAACGTCTCTCAGCGGAAACAAAGGGTAACGCTTCAGTCTCAGCCTCGCATTCGCTGTGATAGCATCACACATGTTTATACTAGCTGAATACATATATTTAGACAGCACAAATACATTTAGACAATGATACAGTTGTCACGATCAGCTCCGAACGATCCTCATGTGTGCCACGCCCCCTCATTACCTCATGTCAACTCCTGATTGTTCCCACCTGTGTCTAGTTAATTCCAGCCTGTCCTGTGTACTTAGTCCGCGTCCGAGTCCAGTCCCGTCAGATCTGTCATTGAAGTTTCGTGTATTGTCATGTTCGATGTCTCCCTGGATCCCTTAATAAATCCGTTTGTGCGTATTACCGGCTACTCGCCTGCTTCCCCACTCGCCTGCTTGCCTATACATAACAACAGTAACAGTAATTATTATTATATAATTTCTTCTTCATTATTTTAATATTAATAATAAACCATTAATACGTAACAGAATGACAGATCTGCTCGAAGACGCATCGCAGCAGGACGAGGACCTCTGGCTCGTCCTGCTGCATGAACCTGCGTATTGGCGAGAGCTGCCAGAGATCCAACAGGATCCCAACTTGTTCGCCCTGGCGGATCGAAGCTGGACCCTCTTGCAAGAGGTTACCCCACGCACCGAGGAGCGCCTAATGGCGGAAGCGCGCTCCCTTCTGCAACAACTTGGCGACCGCGTAAGGTAGAAGCAGCTCCAGCCTGCACGGAGGCAACCCCGCCTCCATCTACCATTCAGAGATGGAAGAAAAGGCATCGGAGAAAAGAGGAAGAGGACCCGACGATCTTCCTGGGAGCCTGTTCCTTGCTCCCTGCCTGGGAGGAGACCGTGGCTGCCTGTCTGCTCAGCGTCGGTGAGAAGCCTCCCCCCATGGAGGCTTACCATTACCGGCCGGCGTGCCTGGGTCAGGGAGGGATACGCACCGTAAGAGACGCCATTCCCCGGATCCCCAAGGCCCTTAAAGGGGCAGCGCCTGCTCGCCCGGCGCCCATCCTGGCGCCCGTTCCGGACCTGCCTGTGTGGTTCCCTCCTGCTCCCTTCTCCCTTCCACCTGTGGCCCCTCTGGCCGCTGCCCGTCGCCCGCCTGGGCTCCTTCGGGCTCCCTTTTTTCCCCCATCCGTTCCTGTCTGGTCTCCCCTGTCTGCTTCTCCTCCGTTCACTCCTGGCCCCTTCGTGTCGCCTGTAGGTGTTCCCTTCTCCGTCTGCCTGTCTGCGTTTCCTGTCCTGTGTGAGGTTTTGTCGTGGCTTTTGCCTCTGTGCCTGTTCTGTGTCTCTGTCTTGTTCCCGGTCCCCCGTTGATGTTCTGCCTTTGTTTTTCAGCTCCTGCCCCTCGTCTCATCTGTCGCCTCCTCCCCTCAGGCGCGCCCAGTGTGCGCGCCTTTTGGGGGGGGTTCTGTCACGATCAGCTCCGAACGATCCTCGTGTGTGCCACGCCCCCTCATTACCTCATGTCAACTCCTGATTGTTCCCACCTGTGTCTAGTTAATTCCAGCCTGTTCTGTGTACTTAGTCCGCGTCCGAGTCCAGTCCCGTCAGATCTGTCATTGAAGTTTTGTGTATTGTCATGTTCGATGTCTCCCCGGATCCCTTAATAAACCCGTTTGTGCATATTAACGGCTACTCGCCTGCTTCCCCGCTCGCCTGCTTGCCTATACATAACAACAGTAACAGTAATTATTATTATATAATTTCTTCTTCATTATTTTAATATTAATAATAAACCATTAATACATTTAATTATAATAATATTGTCGTGCTGAGCGGGGACGGAACGGAGACAAAGGGGCAGACGTCGGGGAATACGTGGTTTAATTACAGGTAAGGCAGGCAAAATGCAGATGGACAATACAATGACTGGACTGGGGAAACAAACTGAAACGCGGACTAAATACAGAGGACTAATAACAACAACCAGAAACAGCTGATCACACGGGAATCCCACACGGGGTTAACGAGGGGGCGTGGCACACGGAAGGATCGGGGCAGGACACAGTTTTTTTTTTTATTTTACACATTGTTTGGATGCATTTATTTCCTTACTTTACAAATTACTGTTTTGACAAATGTGCTTAGATGTGTTTAGTACAGTATATGCTCTTCTTGTTTTATCCAGTTCATTTTATGTTTAAATGGTAAAAAAAACATATTTAGGTGTAATTTTCTGGAGCCGGGAACCAATTAATTGGTTTTCCATTATTTCTTATGGGGAAAATTCAATCACAACTCGAACTTCTTAGGATTCGATCCGGAGTTCTGAATGGATTAAATTCGAGTTCTGAGGTACCACTGTATGGATATTTATTTTTAGAATGTGGAAATAAGTACCACTTTTTTTTTGCTATTCAGACACATTAACAGTGCATTATCTTTGGTTTAGAACTGTCCCTAATTGCTTGTGACTGCATTTTTAATAATTAATAATTTCAAAACAAATTATATTTTCCCTGCTGTACTGAAATTGCACCAAACCAAAAGGTTTGTTCCGAACCATGACTTTTGTGTATCGTTACACCCCTACTGCAAACCACATAGGGTATGTGCCAGTGGAGGACATTTGAATAGTTACGAATGAAGACCTAGTGTCTAATAACAATTGGGCACAATTCCATGGCTCATTGTCCCAGGCAACACAAGTGGGAGCTGGACAAGGTGGAGAAGGAGCAGGGGAAAGACAGGGTCCACCAAAGAAAGGCAAGAGTTTGGGCAGGGAACCACACCATAGATGGAGGGAAGAGATGCGTGAGTCCATGTTTCACTCAACCCTATTATTCAGCAATGGACAGTCAAATTGCCCAAAGATTTCTGCTGATTTGATATTAGCTGCTTAATCTTTAGATGTGCAAACTGAAGGGTGCTCCTGTGCCATTTCCCTAGGAGGCAGACCACAAGGCAGAATGCAGCATGCTTACGAGGGGGCCTCTGGAAATGGAGATGAAGATGGGGACAGATGGGAGGGTGGTCCATCAGGACAGCGCGAGATGCAGATGCAGCAGGAGATCATCTTTGCTCTGCGACAGTTGCAGGAGGACATGCGCAGTGTGATGGAACGACTCGAGGTTGTGGAGAGGCTAACTGCTGCACAGGTAAACTAGCATGTGTGCATTTGCAGTATTCTCTATACAGGATTTTTTTCCCATTTCATACTTTTCTTCTCTCAGGGCATTGAAGGGTAGCAACTCCTTTATCCTAGATGTAGACCAGTTGTCAAGGATTCCTACATCTAGCTGCATTTCCACTGGGCAATCTGAGCTGTATTTTTCCTTGTCTGCATCATATCAGATAACTAGGCATTGGCTCACAAAATACATAACCAGTACATCCAGGGGTTTGCTGCCAAAGTAATTATTAATGAAGGGGGCACTTGTCAAAAGTTTGTCACCTTTTTTTAAGTTGTCTTTTACTATACCCTATACTGTACTGTATTCCAGACTCGGGGCATGGATTTGAGGTCTGCTGACCATCTGTCAGCAAGTAGTACAGAGGTAAGGTGTGTGTGTGTGTGTGTGTGTGTGGATTAGTTTTTATTACATTGTGAGGATCAAATGTCCCTCACAATTTGATAAAATCCTGTCATTTTGACAAAATACGAGTTTTGTCATTTTTTTTTTTTAGGTCCCCACAAAGATCTGTGAATGCAATTGAAAAAGTAAAAAAGCCAAAACTCTTGTATTTTGTTTGGTTACTTATGATTAAGGTCAGGGTTGGGTAGAGGTTAAGGTCGTCATGTTGGGATTAGAATATAGAGATATAATTACAAATCTGTCTGTGTGCGCGTGTGTGTGTCTGTGCATGTGCGCACCCAGTCCAGGGACAACCCTGCGTGTTCTGGTGCCTTTGGCAAGATTCCGCTGAGCACCCCAATCCCCGGCAGAAATTTTGTCAATTCATTTATATTTAAAACATTTCAGTAGCACAGGCTGCTAACCAAATGTGGAAAGTTCAGGTCCAGAAAGTACAAATCCACATCAAGATTTTGTTTCAAACAACCAGTTGAGTATAAAGAGTGACAGTCATAGAGTACTCAACTGGTTGGTTGAGAAAAAACCTTGGTCTGGATTTGTACTTTATGCACCTGAACTTTCCACCTCTGCTGCTAACTATGTTGCATCTGTTGCACAAGAAAGTACTGGGATATTAAAACTAGTGTAAACAACTGTATGTCACAGAATGCAACCCAGAGGTATTTCTTCAGTTTTTTTTCTACTTGATGTTTTGTGCCCCTAATCAAATGGTGCCCTGGGCGATTGCCTATAAGACAGCCAGTCCTGGTTGAGTTTCTCCCCAGCTGTAAGGGGCAGTGCTTGTATTGACCTTCTTCATACTACTAATATTTAAACTGTTGTGTCAATATGGCACTCTATGAACTCAGTACTACAAATACTGCATATAGCTACACTGTGAGGACTGGTTTACAGATTAATTCTGCTGTCACTGGGATGTGTAAAGTGTGATGGATGGGTGGTGGTTTTCTTTGTAGTTGCAAGTAATAGTGCAGATTTCCCCCTCCCCCACAGGAACGGTGGTGGTCACCATTCAACATGTCTTCCCGTGCAGCATTGCTTCTGCTGCTTTGGCCCTGTGTTGTCCATTGGCTGATGTTCCTGTTGCGTCGGAGATACAGAAAATGTAACCCTGAGTTTTGAAGGCCACAAATCAGAATTTGGTGAATTCTCTTAATTGATTTTCTGTAAGCTGGAGAAAAATTCTGCATAATTTGTTTAACTGTTAGGTCTCATTCTGTCCATCTTTTAATTTATTACCATAATATCAAAAACAATATTCCTTTATAGTTATGGAACCAGCAAAAGTAAAAAAATGGTCTTCGATATGTTTTTATATATAGTAGCTATAACGAAGTTAACCTTCCACAAGTACTAATGACGATTTCCTGATTCAACACTTCAGTCATACATTTTTGAGACAGAGAGGGCACCTAATATTTCTGAATTTGTGGGTTGATGAAGTTCTCAAACCTCATTAAAAGCTGCATAAGATATTTTGAAAGTACTTCGTTCTCTGCTGATCAGTTAATCTAAAAAACTGCTACATTTATACACCAAAGTTTGAGTTTGATTGTTTTACTAAAACGTTTCATAAGTTAACTAAGATGTGCACAGAGTTGAAATGTTTTGATTTTTTCAGAAAGTTAAATCTGTCAGGCTCCAAAAAGGCTCACGGAACAGAACTGGTTAAATGAAGAACTAGGAAACATGAATGATATCATTATTTCACTTTCAGATGTAATACACCTGATGAAACTTAAAAATGGTAAATTATGAACTGATGACAAAGATGTAATAAAAATCGGCCTTGTTTATAAACGTGCCTCTGTCACCCTCCCATTGCCTCTACTTTTTCCACATTTTGTATTAAAACGAGCAAATGAATTAAAAAGGGTAAAGGGATAATATTTCATGCAAGTCATTCCAGTTAATCTTCGAATTTCACGCTGTCATTATGCGTATTTTAATGTAACAATTTCAGCTTTACATTTTAATTGGTTTTGAAATATGCGGTGTACGTCTTGGCGTCTTACACACAACGTTTTTATAACGTTCACAACACACACACATGAGCTCAGTGGGTAAAAACAGGGCACGCATTTTCCTGGCCATTGAATATGGGTAGTTATGCAGGCCTACTTCGAGTATATTACGTTGCAAGACATTACCTTCAAAGAGCATTTGGTGTTAACTTGGTTAACAACAAAAACAAGTTAATTTTTAACCATCAATATAGTAATTTGGCACAACTTCCAGACAGTATTTACAACTTATAAAATTGTTCGTACTATTCTTCGTATTTGCTCACATTAAATGTGAACACTATTTTACAAGCACTACGTCATTGATCATTGATGGGCGCCAAATGTTGCGTTTGTTACAAAAGCACAGTAAATAACTACGGTTATTAGGCCGCAATGTGGAGCACCTGGGATCATTTTCCCGGTTTGCCGCGTGTACAATATAAACAACAATAACCACAATGGGCTGCGTGATTTTTGCGTTAAATTGAAACAAAAAAAATGCAGACCAACAGTATTCATTTTCACAAGAAATATAATTGCTAGCGTCAACAAGGCTATTTACAGACGATCTGAACGGAAACCATAAGTGATGTACGTGGCAAAAGTGCGCGCGTTTTGTTTATAAATATAGAAATGAGTTCACCTGTAATAGCTAGGATATTAGTATAATTTACGAACGATGTTTGTTAAATAATCCTAACCACCCAAACATTAAGAATTACATAAGGTCCTTCCATTTTGCAGCAAACTAATCCATTTAGAGTTTTTTGTGTGCCAAGCAGGCAATAAAGTCAGTTCTTCTTTCATTTATATTAATTATTTTACTGTATATATACGTGGCGCCGGGCTGACCGAGTCATCGCGGGAGCAGAGAGAGGGAAACCTGCTTGCCGTGGAAATCACAATCTTTATTAAATGTGTTCTGTCGAAAAATACTACTTATCGAGCCCTTCTGCGCATGTGCAGTTCCACCGTCTTGTGATTAGGGTTAGGTTTTAGGGGTTAGGGTTAGGGCTATCGATTAGCACTATGGTAGCATTTTTCGACAAGGCAGCATATATCGACAGAACAAAATGTCTTTAAAATAACTACAACAGACACCGAACCAACCAAACATACAGACGGGAAACATAATGTTGTCAAACGCCAAACTGCAAGATGCGCACACGGTGGGAGATTTACACAAACCAAATACACACAAGGATCGGACCGGGCACACACAAGACAGCTAGGGCAAACACACGCGCGACAATAGGGAAATGAAACCATTAACATTAACAACACAACAAGGGCTATTTACAATTGCACACGAGGCATGCTGGGACATGCGCCCCACCGGCGCTACAATATGTGCAATTTCTTAAAAGTAAAGTTTCCGTAAAATAGACTCATTAAAATATGCAGCAACTTCTACCCGCAAGCTTTCGTTGTCCGTCAGAAATAGACGAGCCCAATTACTACCGCAAACACGGTGGTAATATCACGACTGATAAATGTCATAGTGGATGCCTATTTGAGTTAAAATCTGTTGGTGCGAACTACACCCGCTTGTTAATACAGTTTTAACGTTTCCTTTCGCATTCCTTGTAGTATAGAAAGCAACGTAACACTTCACACTGGAAATAAGGACTTCTTTATTGTAACAAAAACTTCCACATAAATCGATTGTTTTTATTCATTATTACAAATACGTAATTGTAGATGCACTACTTCCTATGGTGTAGTCCTCACATCTCTGGCAAGGGAGAAATGGTGTACGTGTAGTGGTATTTCAGACGATGCTATTCTTACATGTGCATTCGTGTGGTAACTTGTTAATTAATTCGCTATTACATCAAGTAGTAGAAGCAATTATCTTGTATTCATCCATAAAATTGCTTTAATGTATTAAAAAGCAAAACGCAGTCACCCTTTTAGTGTGTTTGGTACTGTCCATCACATTTTTGCCGGGACTACTTTCCTTAAAGGAAAACAGAATTTAACGTTGCCAAACAAAATGACCAATTAGCAATCGCATTACGCGTAGCAACATCACAATTGCCATTTTGGCCAATGATTGAGCATAGAGGGTTGGCTTATATGTTTAAAATGCTTGGGTTACATAATAAGCTTCTAGTATGGAATTATAGACTTTGTAGTTTTTTTAAATTCCGTTTCAATAGTTAGTATATATTTGAAAACTACAATTCCCACAGAATTGCCTAACCCAGAGAGTATCCGCATGCGCCGTAACAGTGGCGGAGTTGGTATATAAAAGATCCCCTGCCACTGTAAACCAGTAGTACACTGGATATTGTATTTCGTTTGTGGATGTTTTGCTGGTGTAATTTGGTGACCGTGCGGTAACGAAAGCATTAAATGGAACTGGAAAATCAACGGTCTTCAGATCTGAAACGCATGGGACGTCTAGTTCCTGTCATGCTAAAATACACTTATAACAAGATGTAACTTTTTAAGAAATTGAATTTATACCCTCTCAATACGCAAAACCTGTTTTAACTGTCTTTATTTTGCACGGTGAACTATTAACTACAATGTCAGACCCTAACGACCAGAAGACTCATCACCTAACTTCACATGCACCTTCAGGTGGGAATGCTACTAATGGAAATGGAGGTATGCATTGCTGCAATAGGGGGCGATATAGAGCTTTCCAACCAAAAATTAGTAACGTTTACCGAATCGACGAGTTTCAGATGCGAGGAGGACAGCTGGAAGTGTGTCCTTCACTAGTAACCACGGACGCGGGATCTGTATGTTCTGACCGTGCTTCGTCTTATCAGAAGCCAGAACAAAGTGATGAGCCAGAAGACGGTCGCGTCAGTGACGATAACAGTGGAGAGCGACATAAAGAGGGCACATGTAGTCAATTACAAGGTGAGAGTGGCGATTACGAGAGAGTGAGTTCTTGTTCAGGTGTGGGTCTTCTCGATGCGCGACTAGGTAAGAAAAAACACCGGCGGCGACCTTCCAAGAAGAAACGACGCTGGAAGCCGTACTATAAATTGTCGTGGGAAGAGAAGAAGGAGCTCGACGAGAGAGAGACAGCGCGCGCATCTCGGGTGCGAGCCGAGATGTTTGCCAAAGGTCTCCCAGTAGCTCCATACAACACCACGCAGTTCATAATGGAGGAGCACGATCGTGAAGAACCCGATCTTAACACTGAGCTGGGTGTCCGAAGATCGTTAGGGATCGGTCCCCTGGAAGAGTCTGCAAGTGACGATGACTATTTAGACGCTGAAGATGAGGATGAATGCAGCGGCGCTGGTAGCGATGGTGCGGGCAGACCAGGAAATGCCGGAGGGGAGTTCCTTCAGCGCGACTTCTCCGAGACTTATGAGAGGTACCACGTTGAGAGTCTCCAGAATATGACAAAACAGGAACTAGTGCATGAGTACCTGGAGTTGGAAAAATGCATGTCGCGTCTAGAGGAGGAGAATAACCGATTGCGGTGTACCGGGGGAAGGCCGTACATCAGCGCCACACAGCCAGACGCTTCACTCCTCAAACAGCTGGAAATGGAACTAGAAAAACTGCGAGCCCAGAACAGCGAACTGCGAAAGCAGAACCAGCTGTACCAAGAGACAGGACTCCCTCCCCCTTCTGGAAAGTAACAACGGGACAAATCATGGAGTGAATTCAACGTAAATCCCGACTGCTGTTCCTGCATTAGGCATGTAACTTTTATGTGCCGTAGAAACACTTAGTCGGTTTAATGACGATTAACTGAGTTTGCAGTAATTCCCTTTTAACTTTAATGCTACGTTCAGACCCAAGGTTCTCATTTTCATACAAAGGAACATAAACATTTCAGTTTAAGTGAAAGACTGAAGTGCGTGGAAGATTGCTTTACTCAGACGTATAAAACTGTTATATGTTACCAGAGAAGCTTTTCCTTTTCAGATTTTGGTTTGACAGCTTCTCTAGAATTATTTCTACAATTAAATTTGCAGTTATAAATGGTTTGTTTGTAAATTCTGGTAACCATAGAATCAGTAAACTTTGTGCTATTACTGCCTTCTCAGGTGGGTAGTAAGGATTGGTTTAAAGGATCACTTTAAGAGAAGATGTATAGAAATTCCATTTATAAGATTTGTGTGATGAAATATAGGAAACAAACCTAGAATGTCACAATGCAGGGTATGAGTTATACTCCTGCAAGCATAGCAGTAGCATCAGAAATGGCATAGCCATTCATGGGGGAAATGACATTCATTTTATAAAATTGTCTGTGATTAAACAGGACAACCTTACTGCATTGTGAACTTAAATACATTTTCTCAAGAAGCAGAAAGTCTTTGGACGCTTCATTATCTCCCTGGAAATGATACTTCAGACTCAATGTACACAGTCTCTGATATGCCGGCATTTAATCTCAGTGTGCTGTGCTTTTTACTGAGTTTAGTTTCTTTTAGCATGCAAAAATTCATCACACAATGCATACTGGGTGCACAGGACACAGTTTACATATACTTTGTGCTGTAACTGCCTTCTCTGGTGGGCAGTAAAGATTGGTTTAAAGGATCACTTTAAAAGAGGGATTTTCAAATAATACAGAAATTATTTTTTATATATTGGAAGAGCACTGTGGTAAAAACTGTCCCTTAATAAACATATAATGCATATTTTCCATCCTGTTCATAAATATAAAATGAAATTATCAGTACCAAATGTTTGCCATGCATGGATTATAAACAATATAGCAGCTGTGTTACCTAATTGTATGTTTTATGAAAGCATAAATTTAAACTGGCAGGAAATTAATTTTTGAAATTGTCAATGAACTAATCTTTCAGGACAACGTAGGCAAACAGCCCTTTATATTGATTTGTATTTGAATAGGGACACTCTACCAGAATGGTGGTATAGCAGAACACTGAATGATCTGGAATGTTTAGGATACAAAACTGGGGCTCCTGATGTGACTCATCTTAAAACATGGAGTATATAGGAGGAAACTGGAGTATCCAGAGGAAACTCAGAGTGAAACTGCACACACAGAGGTGGGATGCTAAATCAGCACTGTAAGAAATGGCTGTAATCCACAGTAAGTTACTATGTTGATGCACAATTATTTACTGTACATGTTTTCTACCGCAAAACACTGTACTTTGCTGAAAATCTTGTGGATGAAACAAAATCACAGAAATGAAGATGGTACTGTTGAAAATCACAGCAATGTAGACTACTGTAGAAAATCACAGTATGTCAAAGTATTACGGCATTTACGTCGATTAAATTCTCAAATTACTTTTTAAAATATAATATGCAGTGCTGCTTGAAAGTATGTGAACCCCTTGAGCAGTTTAGATGTTTCTGTTGTTTTACCATGATTTTCTTATTTTATCATCACCAGTTTTTATGTATGAAATGTCATACATATGTTTATCAATTGCATGTACTTGTTTAGTGGGACTCGTTTAAGTAGCCCAAAAACTACATGAAACATGGAACTAGTGTATGTGCACAAGTAAGTGAACCCCCAGCTGCATTGGTTAAGTCAAGCAGGTAACAGACTCAGGTGAAACACATTTGGGTGCTTAATTAATCATTTAAGTAGACCAATGAAATGAGACATCCTTGGGAAAGGGTTTGGCCTGCACTAATTTAAAGATAGAGGAAACCAACCAAACCACTGTGGTCCCATACAAATCAACAATGCCAAGCGCAAAGGAGATACCTGAGGACATGAAGAAGAGGGTAGTGACAGCCCATCAGTCTGGGGAGGGCTATAAGACCATCTCCAAAAGATTCCAACTCCATCCATCCACTGTAAGACAGATCATTTACCACAAATGGAGGGCCTTCAACATGACAGCAACTTTGCCTAGAAGTGGACGCCCATCAAAAATATCACCCAAAAGCACCAGAAAAATAATAAATCAGGTAAAGGCCAACCCACACATCACCTCTAGAGAGTTGCAGACCTCTCTGGCAGCATCTGGGACAAATGTGCATGCATCTACAATCAGACGAAAATTGAATAGCCATGACATTCATGGGAGGGTTGCTAGAAGGAAGCCTCTGCTCTCAAAAAAGAACAAAGCTGCCCGTTTCAACCAGAGGCCTTCTGGAAGTCCATTCTCTGGACAGACGAGTCCAAAATAGAATTATTTGGTCACAATCAAAACCCACATGTTTGGAGAAAAGCCAACATGGCATATGAAGAAAAGAACCCCCTCCCAACAGTTAAGTATGGTGGTGGAAATGTGAAGGTCTGGGCTGCTTTTCTGCTTCTGGACCTGGACGACTCCATATTATCCAAGGAACCATGAATTCAGCATATCAACAAATTCTTGACCAGAATCTCCTGCCATCAGTCAGGGAGTTGAAGCTGGGACGAAAATGGATTATGCAACAAGACAATGACCCAAAGCATTCCAACAAAACTACAAAGGAATGCTTCAGAGAAAGAGGATTCACACTCTGGATTGGCCCAGTCAAAGTCTGGACTTTAACCCAATTTAAATTTTGTAGCGAGACCTGAAGAAGTTGGTACATGCCAGATGTCCCTCCAACCTCTCTCAGTTGGCTGAGTTCTGCAAGGAGGAGTGGGCAAAAATCCCCATAAGCCGATGTGAGAGACTGGTTAGTGGTTACAGAAGACGTTTAGTTGAAGTAATGGCTGCAAAAGGAGGAGCCACAAGCTACTAATACAAGGGTTCACATACTTTTGCATATGTTAAATTTTCAGTTTTTGTGAAATAAACTGCCTTTGTTGAATTAAATAATAAAAATATATCTCTTTTTGTGTGTCCATTATTTGGAAGGTGTGCTTTACAAATTGGGATTTGGATGTATGTTTAATAACGTTATTTTAATGTTTTTTACAAAAATAGTGAACAGTGTCTGGAGGGTTCACAAACTTTCAAGCAGCACTGTATATATAAATTATAAATGTATAATTATAAACTTATATTTGATTTAAAACTAGAAACTAATAATAGTATATACAGTGGTACCTCAGAACTCGAATTTAATCCGTTCAGAACTCCGGATCAAATCCTAAAAAGTTTGAGTTCTGATCGATCAAAGAAATAATGGAAAACCAATTAATTGGTTCCCTATGAAGGTAAAACAGTAGCAAAACTCGAGAGATTGCTAATTTGAATGTGAGAACTTGTAAAATTAATATTTGTATTTGTAAGTTGAAATTTATACTTACCGCTCTGATGTGAAAAGCTGCATCTATCGATTTGCACACACAGACAATACTCAGAACACCTGTGTTTTGAATTCGAAGTTGCAGATTAATAGTTACAAATGTGTAAAGTGTCATTCGCATAAACAAAATGACAGGCACAATTGTGTACTACACATTTATCTTTGCGCTTTACTTCAGTTTCGCTGTACACGGCACTCACAACCTCTCATATCTGGCAGTACAACCTCAAATCCTAGCGCTTTGACTTTTGCTACTCTTTTTGCGATATTCCTGTAGCAAAACTCACTCGTGCACTTGTAAATGCAAACTTGAGAGAGCATAGTCGGGGGCGGGGCTGGGGTGGGAATAAAGTCATTTTATTGGTCGATGCCTCACCAATGAACAACGCCAGCCACAATGCAAGCATTTGTATGCATATGTATCAGCTATTTTTTTAAAACGATTGGAAAATATTTTTATGAAATGTCATTAGTTTTACTGGTTTTTATATATCAGTAAAAGCGCAGCAATGTCGTTACTACACAGAGCAGCTCGCGCCATTTCGGTGGTGGTGGTGGTCGTCGTCGTTGTCGATCGATCGCGATGGCTGAATCGAACAATTTCTTATTTTTTAATATTTTTCTATACATTCAGTATTGTTAGTCAGAGACTGTTATATATAACTGCAAAGTTAAAAAATATAAGTGCCTTCTCATGTATTTTTAGTTAATTAAATTGTTAAATAAATGTACATAGTACAATAATTGCCTAAATGTTTATTATGTTTATGAAAATGACAGTTTTTACAATGCATTAAGCATGTTTTTCAAGATAACATG